TAAACACACACCGTAACGCAACTTTGATTCCACTTCCGCGCAGTAGATTGCTTTTAACTGGCCTACAGTGAGAATATAACTTAAATTTCGTAGTTTGAAAGATAAGGAATTCAATTTCAGTATGAGCCCATCACAGTGAGCTTTAAAGTTTAAATTTTTATCAAGCACAATTCCCAAGAAATTTGTGCTTTCAGAGCATGTACGTGACCACCCACATTCACACTAAGTGGTGTGGTACCTAATTAATTTCTGATGGTTATGAAATTGCATAAGTACTGTTATAACCAGTGAAGATTGCGATCTGCTCCAGGATAACTTTACCAATATTGTTAGCTGGTGTAGTGATAATAGTTTTGAACTGCATAAAGATAAATGTGCTTGTATGTAAATTTCTTTAAACCGAAACACCATTGAGTATGATTATACTCTCAATGGAACCAGCCTTAAAAGATACTTCCGCATTAAATACTTTGCTATTTCCACTGCTATTTTAAACCTGATTCTCTCATTTCGTTATGAAGCTGCTTTTGCTGGCAGTTGTTTTTCTGCCTTTTTTTCTGCTTTTCTGCTTACTTTAATAACCATTTAATTTGATTTTGTTGAAATTAGTAGGTTAAGTAGTAGGTTTAAGTTTCACTCTTTCATGTATGTTACTGACTTACTGATTTACCTGATATTTTTTTGTAACACTTGTTAGTTCCTATCTATTAGTAAGTTTTTGGTAAATAAATAAATAAAAATAAATAAATAAAAGAGTTCACGAACAGAAAGATTTAGGAATAATATTTAATTCAGGTTTCTCTTTTTCTGACCATATTATTGCAAAAGTTGATGGTGCTCAAAAAGTGTCAGGTCTAATCATTAGAAATTCTAAGAACTTAAATATTGATGTTGGCTTGCATTTATTTGACAGTTTAGTTTTACCCGAGGTTTTACCTATTTTAGAATATGGCGCCATAATATGGTCTCCTCAATATAGCGTTTGGATTTACATTATCGAGGGGGTTCAGAGAAAATTTTTGAAGGCTATGTATTTCAAAAAGTTTGGCACTTATCTCCAAAGAGCCTGCGACAATGATTATCTTGTGGGTTTGTTTAACAGGCTTTCGTTAAGTAAGAGAAGGATTAAAATATTTTTATGTACAATGTACAGAATCCTCAAAAGTGATATTGACTGTCCAGATATTTTAAATCAATTACCATTTGCAATTAATCGCCTAAACTCGAGAAATACTAAAATGTTTTTTTTCTACAAACGTCACTAAAAGTATCATTTTTAACGGATGCTGTCAGTGTCTAAAATGCTATTTTATGACACTGGTGTTAAAAGTGATTACTTTTAGCACTAGTGCTAAAAGTAACCACTTTTAGTGCGTTTGTAGAAAAAATAGTGTATAATATTCGTGCTAAAAGTGATTTAATTTTGTTCAAAGGGATGGAACACTCCGCCTTCGGCGTCGTGTTCCAAACTTCCCTTTTCACAAAATAAAATGTCAATTTTAGCACTTATATCATAAATAACTATTTTTTTATTGATAAGCCACTTCACTTATTTAAAGTACTCCTCAGCGTGTTTAAATCCAACATTCAAAAACGCGCGTGTTTTAAAGTTACTAATGACAACATCAACAACCAACAGCCCGAGAAAGGTCTAAATGTCAACTTTTTAATTATTGATTTGTCAGGAGTAGGTACTTGTAGACAACGTCAAGTAAAATATAGCATGTGTCAACGAATTTAGCATTCCACAATTATTAGTAATTTTTGATTTGAACGTATAGGTACCAATAAAAAAAAATAGTGTAAAGTATTCGTGGATAACTGGTCTTTAAAACACTTGCTCTATTTCGAGCACTCCGGCTGCGCCGTCGTGCTCGAAAAATCGCGCGTGTTTTAAAGACCTTAATCTACGTCGGTGTCATTATGACACATTTAGCATTGTCATTTGAATGTCATTAGGTCCTTCATAATAGCACTAGTGCGTTTAAGAATTCATAATAACACCCAAATTTTGAAATGAAAAATATACAAAAAGAAAGTTAGTTGCCAGAAGAACCTTTTCAATAATGCTGTCTCTATATTCGAACTCAGATTCACCAATAATAATATTATTTTCCACCATAAAATTGAATTTATGGCACAAAAATGGACTACAATATTGAAGCTGCCAAAGTCAAAATTCTAAAAACCAACAAGCAGGCACAGAACATATCACCTATAGAAAAATATCTCAAATGGGAGAATCGCGACAAAGGTTTTTAGTTAGGTTTTCATTCAACGATGGCGACACTGTCGGGAGATAAGAGAAATTTACAGGTATCTGTGGTGTGGACAGTGATTTGTGTTGGTTTTGTCATTTATTTTGTCATTTTAAAAGTCAAAATTTGAATTTTTAAATTGTGTTGTTGTGAACTATGAACCATGGTCCCCACGCGCGTTAAAGTGAAAATTCAAAAAGTTTTGGTTGAAAAAAACCCTAATTTTTGTTCGTATTTTTTTGTATTTACTCGTTTGTTTCGTTTCGTTCGTATTTGTATTTATAATTCGTATTTACTTTGCGATCTACCTATAGCTGCGTGTCTCTTGCTAACTTACTAACTCTTTTTGCACTATGTTCGACATCGGAAACTTCCTGCCAGTCATAGTTCTCAAAAAAATGAGGCGAAAAGAGCTAAAAGGAGTCAGCAAGCCAAATGCAGTTGAACATTAAAAATTATTTAAAAATAATAAAAACATATGAAAAAAATCAATTCGCCTTTTTGTCAAGAATGCTCGATTAGTTGGGTTTTCAGTAAACGATGGCGCTGTAATTCATAACCGGTACATAACATTGCAGATACTTTTCTAGAGGTGATATGTTCTGTGCAAGCAGGTTCTCGACTTAACGGGCACCTGCTAAATTTCAAATTTTAATTTGAAAAGTTTTTGCTATTTCAAGGCAAATCAAATCTATTTGAACCATTGTAGATTAAATTTTGAATGATACACGTTCGATCTGAACTTTATTAATGAAACTTGTGTAACTAAACCACTCGGCTAACGCCTCGTGGTTTAACGTTACACGCGTTTCATTATGGCGTTCATATCGAACTTGTATCATTAATAACTATAATATCCACTTATACTTTAATATACTAATCTTACATTTCCCAGAACAAACCTGTACAAAAGCTCGCCAGTCTATCAGTTATGTAACTTGTTTAATTTATATGTATCTGATATTGATATTGACTGTATTATTAATATAAAAACCTCGATAAAAACTTTTAAAAAGCTTATAGACAATAAATTAAGGTCAAGCACTTTAGGGCTTTAATTTCGAATAGGAAGTTAGTTCTTTTTGCCATCATAATTATTAGCTTTATTCAAGACTATATCTATGTATGTACAGGGTGTCCGAATTTGGATGGTTTTAATAGGAAACGTCAATTTCTGAGCGAGATACAAAAAAATGAACCCCCCACTCCGAGGCTCGAATTTCTTGAAATTTTGATTGGTGCAAACCGCATTTTGATATCTTCAACCGTTTAGCCGCTAGAGGGCGATTCTCGATTTTGAGCAATACTGTGAAATCTTCATAACTTTTTTGTTTATGAAAATAACTGATTTCCGTAAAAACTTCCTAGAAGCACTTTTTCAAGCAGAATTCAGTGACGTTTTCAGTTTTTTTCTATTCGGCCTCGATTTCAAGATATTGACCAAAATACGATTTTTTTCAATGGGACACCCTATATATTAATAGTTCATTAGAAAGCTCTGCTTTTGCTGATTTCAATGATACAAATTTCGATAGGTTTATCTCTAACAGTTTTCGAGAAAAAAAATATTTCGGCTTCTGTCATAAGAAACAATGAGTTAGAAAGAGACCTTTCTCAGTTTCCTTACAGATATAAAGTCCTTTTCTTACACATTGCTTCTTATGACAAAAACCGAAATAATTTTTTTTCTCGAAAACTATTAGAGATAAACCTATCGAACTTTTATCATTGAAATCAGAAAAAGCCGAGCTTTCTAATGAGCTATTAATATATAGAGTGTCCTATTGAAAAAAACCAGACTTTGGTCAATATCTCGGAGTTGGGACCAACTAGAAAAAAACTGAGAACGTCACTCAATTCTGCTTTAAAAAGTGCTTCTAGAAAGTTTTTACGGAAATCAATAATTTTCATAAACAAAAGAGTTATGATGGTTTCACATTATTGCTCAAAATCGAAAATCGCCCTCTAGCGGCTAAACGGTTGAAGATATCAAAATGCGGTTTGCACCAATCAAAATTTCAAGAAATCTGAGCTTTGGAGTGGGGGGTTCATTTTTTTGTATCTTGCTCAGAAATTGATGTTTCCTATTAAAACCATCCAAATTCGGACACCCCAATGTAAATTTTTACCATATTTTGTTTGATTTGTATTTGTATTTTACCCGTAATTGGCCACTGGCTGTTGATACTGGACTAAATAAATAAATAAATTTAGTAAAAACAACATGGGAATACAATAAAAATAGTTAGGAATACGTGGGAATAGATTGGAAATAACTAGGAATACATAGCAATACTTTTTAACAATCATGAAATACTTAAGAGTTTCTTGGGAAATACTGGGAATAATTTGGAAATATCCAGGAATACTGGGAATAGAATTGAAAATTCACCAAAGTGTTCCCAAATATGAGAATCCCTGGACGTTTTCCCTTTTTTGGGTGGTTGACCCCTCGAATATATTGTATAATTTGTTAATATATAGTTTTAACGTTTGTATAATATCTGGGTCCAAAGTATTAATCTATTGTATACCTATAAAATTGAAAATCTCTCCAGTTGTGCGCACATCAAGCTTAAAGTATGAACTTCATGACAAGTTGTGAAATTTTGTACAATTCTACACATTATTGATAGTGACATAGGCATTTTTCTTTATGGAACTCTACTTTGATGATGATTGAACTATGTCCCCCTACCCTATTACTCCTAATAAAACAATATAGGTACTGTTGTAATTTACCTTATAATTCTGCACATGATCTACCCGAATCGACCTGTTCAAAACTTTGATGCCATTCAAATTGTCTACTGCTAAAATTGTAGATCTCTGATCTTCGTAACATAAAAAGCAAAACCCTTTGGATTTGCCAGTATCCTTTTCTCTGATAAGATTGATATTAACCACTTCACCATATCTGAAACATAATAATTATTATAGAATCAACGTTTTTTAATATAATCTGAACATTACTGCGAAAAAATGCATATGATATCTCCTTCAGTCAAATCAAATGGGAGCCCTCCGATATAAATCCAGGCGCTATCTTTGTACTGGTCATGCCAGGACGTTTTGCCAGGATTGTGGAGATCTTGTTGGCTCAATTTAACAACATTTTTTATATTCCTTAAAATAGAAAATGAGAACAATAATTAATTAATCTTGAGGTGTCCATTTACAGGCTTATGGATAACTTACGTTAAATAATTCATATTAAAGAGTTCGTGAGGCTTGAGCACTCAAAAATCACGGAAATACAAACAGAGGTAAATAGTTTTTAATCATAAATTACTATTTTTAACAATCTACAAGGAATATCCTGTACACAATACAAGAGGTAGCAGCACAACAACAAACACCTAACCCGAACTTAACCTCAAAAGCAAAACACTATCCAGTTTCTGGAAACCGGATTTGCGATGTTGCCAAGTTTCATAAAAAAAATAAATTAGATTTAAGTTTATTTGATGATAGGTACATTGGCCTCTCTGTTCTTTTCCTCCAGTAAGACAAGGATGCATATTGATTGGGCGTATTAGAAAATTCGCATACATGTCGATAAACTGTCACTAGTCCGACAGTTTCCGTCAAATTTCGGAAAACCTGGAAAATTTAATATGGCCGATAGGCCGATGTTTGTCTGTCATTAATTTTATTGTAATTTGGATTGAAATTTCGAATTTGAACTAATAAAAGCGGATATTCGAGAAAAACTTCAGTGAAACTGAAATGAAATTTAGTCGGTTTTATATCAGATAGTGATATGATGTGCGAGGGATGCGCCGATTTCGTACAACTTCTTGTTTCTTGTAAGTTGTGGGGACTTTTTAAAGGGCCGAATTATTTTTTCTATTTCATTAGGAAAATTTTGTGCTTGTCCAATATAGTATTCATCCTTTCTGTATTTATATCCTATAAAGTTCTGTATTTGTACAGTACAACATCTCAACCATCATTAAACGCTGGGAGTATCCACTTGTATACAATTTCAACACTCCTAATTTGTCTTTGTTGAAGAGAATTCCGGAAAATTGAACTTTACAATAAAAGTGTCTACAACCGGAAGCAGCTTCTGCAAAAAAAACTTGTCTTGTTCCCATATTACTGTTACCCGGTACCTTCCCATCTGATAACATCAAAATATTGTATCCTCCCCTCTTGCAAATATTTAAAACTAATGGATTTTGTTCAATCAATCATTCAAACTATATTCTATAATCTGTTGAGTATTGGACAATAGAATTATAAAATTTTCTTTTATTTAGATGAAGCACAAGTTTGTCAAGATAACCAAGCAGGCGACCAACCAGTATTAAGTGTTGATGACATAAATACAGCCTTTGTTTATGTACAAACATGGCCTGCAAGGTGAGTTTACTCCATCCATTTCAAGATCAAAAGTATTTGAAAAAGTTCTTTTTCTAGACAATGTATGTGCTGTTACCGAGACTCAAAAAACCTGGAGCGGTTCAGCTGCCTAACGCAAGGCTTAATATACATGGCAGTTTCCCAACTCAAACTATTATCCGATAAACATGCTGATAATACACAAACAGAGCCTGAACCATCCGAGTTGAATACTGCTAAAACTGAACCGCCAGAGAAAAAAGATACTAATCCAGAAGATGAGAAGGAAAACGTTGAAGTGGTGGAAAGAGACAAACTACTAATTTTGGTCTCAAAAATATTTCTTTTAAATTTTCCTTTGTATGTGGCCTTTAAGCATACTATTCAGTCAAAAGTAGAGGAGTTGACGGCACAAGAAATGGCCAATTTGAACATGTTCTGCGACCTACATGACTCAGAAATACCGATTTATCTTTTAAAAAATGTCAGTTGGTTTTGTAAAATTGGCGGACTACTGGCCATGACTAATTGCTTTACTTATCTAACTACAGAAATTTTACCTGTATCCACTGCTCATGCTATGATATCTATCGGTGAGTCATTAACATCAAGTTAAGTCTAACCAATATTACACTAAAGTTTTGTTTTAGTTTGCAATTTGAAATTATGGATGAACTACAAAACTATGGTATCTTTGTTGGTGCCTCTAAGATCCTGCGTTTTGAGGTACATGTGTAAATTGTCAGATCAAGATTTGAGGACCCCAACTATAAAAAGTATGGCTGATTTTATGTGGAATGCTATTAAAGACCCTTTAGATTCACCAGTGGCTTTTGATGTGGATGGCCTAGATTTGGCTTTCAAGTATTTTACTTCCAGCACTTTGACAATGAGGTAATAGTTTATAACAGCTATTTTCGGGTTCGAAAAAAGGATGGGTCTAGAACAGTCTCGAGAACAGTTCAAAACAAACGCACAGTTTATTATTGAAATTTGTGATAGCTGAATCGTTGTCATTTTGTTGATTGTGCGATTGTTTTGAACCATTCTAGAACCGTCCTTTTTTCGAACCTAAAAATAGCTATTGTTTTTGATTTATATTATCACATATTTGGGCAGTTTGCATTACATTTTTCAGTTTGAATTTCCACTTTATGGATAATCAAATTGGGTTCTGGGCTCTAAAAAGTAGTTACCAAATATCCATGTTCACCTTTTTTTGACATTGCCAAAATTTGTTATTAGCTGATTTGAGCTTGGTGCTCTGAAGTATTTACCCCCTTTAGAACATAAGTTGTTTAATTGTTTATTTAGCCATAAGTTGTTATGATCGCTTCTCTAATTTATTTATTTATTTATTTATTTATCATTCAAATATCAACAGCCAGAGGCCAATTACAGACATCCACACAAGACTAAAAGTAACATATAGCTTAACAATACACTTAAAAGGAAATAGAGATATATATTAAACACTAAAACATTTTTACTAAAACTAAACAATACATAATTAAAATGGTTGGTTAAAATTAATTTTGTACAAAACACTAACGCCCTAAATCTCACCAGGCAGTTTACTATCAATTAGTTTTTTTAATTTTTTAAGATTTATTATGTCTATGTCAATATCTGAAGCATACCAATTAAAAACTGAACACATTCTAAATATAGGTGAGTTCTTGTACAGATTGGTTATGGGAAACGCTAAATAGAACTGTTTGAATTCCGAGAATTAATTCGATTCATCGCAAATGGCAACTGGCCAAGAATATCAGGACCATCCATTTCACCCTTCAGCAACCTAAACATTGGGCAAAGAATTATTTTGAATCTCCTTTTCTTCAATGACACTCTCCCAAAGACACCTAACAAATATTCATTATTACAACCTCTTTGTGGGTAGAATCTATATTTTCTATAATAAAGATAAGTTAGAAATTTCCTTTGCACCCCCTCAATAATCGTAATCCATACATCATACTGAGGAGACCAAATTACAGAATCATATTCAAATATAGGCAAAACCTCGGGCAAAACTAAGCTGTCAAAAAGATGTAAACTCATGTCTATGTCAAAATCTCTAGTATTTCTTATAATAAAACCCTCTGAGCACTTTCAATTTTTGAAAGAATGTGATCAGTGAAAGTGAGATTCACATCAAAGATCAGACCTAAATCCTCGTCTTTGCCATAGCCTGATAGCCTCATTCCTGATTTTTTTTCTAAAAATTCTGGAAACCTAGATTAACCAATTTTTTTTTATTTACTAAGGAAGCTTTTAGCATCAACATATCGAAATTTTATGGAGAAATAGTCCAGGATAACGGAGCTATGATTCTTACAATCAGATAGACACACTGCTCTGAATCCTGTCTTCGCTTTTCGATATTCTGCTATTCTGCTTGCAAGCAAAAGGATGGTAAGTCTGTGATAAGACAGCAGCCGAAACCCAGCCAGTAGGTAAGAAGAGCCCAGCTGGCGTCTCCCAATACCAATTCCTGTGCCTGTAGCGCCTATACTGAATCTCTCCTATTAAAGGGGGTGTAACCTTAAAATACAACTTGTATTCAGAAAATAAAGAAGAAAATTTTAAGAACGCTTGGGAAAATCTCGCATCGCTACTTAAAATAATAAGGTAGATACGACTAAATAAAATTATGTCTATTCATCGCGTGACATCATAAATACACACAAAAATTGCAATACCTATTTAAACTGACGCAGCAATAGATGTGAGAACGCAAAAACGATATGATAATGTCGATAATAGCTCTTTTCCAACCGACATGAGAAACGTTCTAGAACGGTAATTTCCAGTTGATCAATTCATTTGTCAAGTAGAATAAATGTTCAACTTATTGAAAAATAGGTGGACAACTGGAAATTACTGGTTCTGGAACAGTTCTCCTGTCGGTTGGAACTGAGCTAACATATGCAGTAAGAATCAGCAAACGCGCGCCAGCGCCGGCTGTCGGACTCAGTTTGTTCATATGACGTGACTGTGCTAGGAGTAGGAATTTTATATCACACTATCTTCGCAACGGTTGGTCGTAACCTAGTGCGGTTTGAAAATTTGTTCTTAGATTTTTTTTTTCTAAAACTTATTTTTGGGTCCCACCCCATTTAAGATTATCGATAGCAATAGCAATAATTTAATTTGTTTTAAATTCGAATAATACTTGAAAGAAAAAATACCTAAATTATTTTTTGAAGTATCTACGTGAATGTCATTTCAGGTACCTACGCAAGTTTAAGTAAATACTAACTTGACTCTGACTTTTGTGGAATTTGGTACTTGTACTTGAATTTGGGAAATTCAAGTCAATTTACTTGACATTTTACGTTTAGAACAGCGCTGATCGGTGGATAGAGTATACGATTCACATTTACTTGATTAGGGGCGCCAAAGTCAGATCTCGCTCCATCCTAAAAGTCACCTCGGGCCGGCACTGCCTTTGTTATATTCAATATTTGAATAATTAATTATTTATTAGTGGTTCAGTATAAAGAGGAATTGAATATGGAAATATACTTCTAGAGTATTTAGCTTCACTTTAAATACATTTTGCATCGAAATAAAATTTTATGAAACTTCCTGATTATTGAGAGAGTAAACTGGTCAACATTAAGTTCGGTCCATTCAATTTTTTGCCCTCTTTTTAAACAGCTGCAACTTTTTTAAAAATAAATATTTTTGAACGCGGTTTGCGACATTCAAAAGCGCGTCTCTTCTAGATTAGGCTGCATGTCACACATTTTTGGTGAGAAAGCTATTTTCATGATATACGGGGTGATAAGCAATGTCATGCAAAAAAGCAAAAATTTCGTGTGTGTGACACTTTGGCAAAAATTTTTTTTATCCCATTTTGACGTTTAAAAATGACATTATTGAACGCATAACAATAAAGGTAAGTAGACGTTTATCACCTCAGCGATTTAAAAACATTTTAGCTCACTCTCGGCATTTTAAGTCACTCTGCCCAACTAAAAATCTGAAATCTCAGTGATTTAAAATATTTTTAACTCACTCCCAGCATTTTTTCTTCTACTTTATTTTTAAAATTTTCAAAAAATGGGATAAAATTTTGTATACATCACGTGAGTTAAAATGTTTATTCATTCGAAGAAAATTAACCCACTCGCTAGGGCTCGTGGGTTAAACTTTCTTCTCATGAATAAAAATTAATTTAACTCACTTGGTGTATAAATAACTATTAGTTGCTATAACATGGTTCGTTACTAAGGTTACATCAATATCTCTAAACGTTTTTGTCACTTTTTGGATTTAGGCCCTATGGCCTTAGATACACTACTAAACATCAAATTTTGGTAATGCAATCTTTAAATTGCTATAATTCGAAAACGAAATGACGGATTTTCACGAGCGCTTCAAATTCGGAAAGCCTATTTCATGTAGATTATCTATGACCTAAGAAATATACGCAAGGTTTCAGTTTTAAGATTATACCAGGATACAATAAAATAAAATCCCTAACGGTACGAAGAATCGATGGACCAATGTTGTCATGGAACAGTATTTAGCATGAAACTCTATGGCATGACATTTTGCGTCAACTGCAAATTTTATCTTGTATCAGTTACAGTCCGTCGATCTGATACTCCAAAAGAATGTAAGCTGGTGGCTCCCTACATTAGAATGCCAAACATCACCTGACGTCACACCTGTTTTTGTCATATGCTTCACCCCCTCGCTCCTCATACGGAAAGTGTCAGATTAAAAACGACGGACAATAAGTTTTATTTTACCAAATGGTTAAACTTGGCCAAAATGAATTGAGAAATGTTGTGAGGTAAGTTTGAGCCCATTAGACTTATTTTTTGTAAAATTGGGAATTTCCCGTTGATGAATAAATAAATAAATAAATAAATAAAATTTACCAAGAAAAGAGGCATACGCATACCTACCTAAGTTCGAGTGTGAAAAGGGTACTAGCCAGTGAAACCTAGCTTATGGCAGTCCAAGTTATCGCTACCAACATCGTTGCGGACGAACGAGAAAAACAACATCAAGGCAGGATCGTTTGATTGCTCGTAATGAAACACGGAGTAGAACCCTTATTGTCATCGAACACTGCCAGAGTTTTCAAGCAGCAAGTGGCATAAGGATATCAACGCAAACCATAGGGCGTAGACTTCACGGGCGTGGACTGACGGCAGAATACGGCTAATAGCAGAATGGAGTAGGTGCATGTTCGCATTCATCTGCGGTTTAATTTATGTGGAAGTGATGGACGAGTTTTAGTATGGAGAGGGAGAAACGAGGGGAGAAATGAACGATATCTGGAAGGAAACATGGATGCAAGGGAACTGTTTGCAGGTGCCGGTGTGGTTGTTAAGGGTGGTGTTATGATGAATGGGAGAACGGATTTGGTTGTTTAACTGAGGGAATCGATGAATGCGGAAAGGTATCGAGATTGTATCAGTGATATTATTATTCCTTTCCACAAAATTTTGGAGACGATTTTGTCCTGGTGGACGACAATCTCGTATTTGTGAAAATTTTTAGTAAAAATTTCTATAGTTAATTTTTTTTTGTGCGGATTTATAGTGTCTATTTAACGTCCAATGATTTACCCAGTATTTAAGGTTTCCGTGTTGGATACCTATTTGTCTATTGTTGGCCTGATATGATGTTAAAACTGAAACCTTGCGTAAATTTCTTAGGTCATAGAAAATCTACATGAAATAGGCTTTCCGAATTTGAAGCGCTCGTGAAAATCCGTCATTTCGTTTTCGAATTATAGCATTTTAAAGATTGCATAACCAAAATTTGATGTTTAGCAGTGTATCTAAGGCCAAAGAGCCTGAATCCAAAAAGTGACAAAAACGTCTAGAGATATTGATGTTACCTTAGTAACGAACCATATTGTAGCAACTAAAAAAAATTTTTGACACACACGAAATTTTTGCTTTTTTGCATGACATTGTTTATCACCCCGTATATTATGATAATACCTTTCCAACCAAAAATGTGTGACAAGTAGCCTAATCTAGGAGAAACCCGCTTTTGAAAGCCGCAAACCGCGTTCAAAAATATTTATTTTTAAAAAAGTTGCAGCTGTTTAAAAATAGGGCACAAAATTGAATGGACCAAACTTAATGTTGACCAGTTTATACAGGGTGTCCCACGGTGGATGGCGTATTAGACGTTAATGGAAAACTAAAAAGCGGATCATTTTGAAAATTTGGCAACCGGGATAAACAGCCATAATCTACACTTTAAAATTATTTTTGTTTCTGTGGTATTGCCGCTTCTACTCTAAACCAGTGGCAACATCGCTATTGTAAATGGCGCACCCTGTATGTGATTGCATATCCGGATTCTACGTAAAATTCTGAACAGATTTCATGTGATATACCCTATACCTAAGTTCAACTGTTTTGGAAATATTGACAGTTGAAAATTGACTTTTTGCAACTTTGACAGGCTATAAAACCTAAACGGTTAATTTTAGAGGAAAGCCGATTTTACATTCCTATCTTAGATTTTCATAAGCTATCATTTGACACCAACTTTGAATTTAACTGGAGATGAAATTCAATTAGAATTTTTCATCAAGGATTAATTTCAAAGTTGGTGTCAAATGATAGCTTATGAAAATCTAAGATAGGAATGTGAAATCGGTTTTTCTCTAAAATTAACCGTTCAGGTTTTACAGCCTGTCAAAGTTGCAAAAAGTCAATTTTTAACCGTCAATATATCCAAAACAGTTGAACTTAGGTATAGGGTATATCATATGAAGTCAATTCAGAATTTTACGTAAAATCTAAATATGCAATCACATACAGGGTGTTCCATTTAAAATAGCGATGTTGCCACTGGTTTAGAATAGAAGCGGCAACACCGCATAAACAAAAATATTTTTAAAGTGTAGATCATGGTCGTTTATCCGGGTTGCCAAATTTTCAGAATGATCCGCTTTTTAGTTCTCTATAAACGTCTAATACGCCATCCACTGTGGGACACCCTGTATAAATACTTCATATTTCTGCCGATTTGTCAAAAACCTGTGGACTAAAATATGAAGTGTCTTATATCATTGTAATCGTAATAAGATATTCTATCAAACACATATACCGGGTGTCTACGAGATCAGTTTCGCGCTGGCATTTGCTGTTTTTTTTTTTCGATGGCAAAGATTTTTGGTATAGAGTGTAGGTTTAAGAAATGTCATATTTTGACATGTGGGTCAATGTTTGGTAACTTCCGGTTTGACCGGAAATGGTCCTAACTCCGTAATTTTGAATGGCATCCCAATAATTTTTTCGCATTTTTGGTATCTGCGGATCATGATGTGTACGAAAACGTCAAATTTGAACATTTTTGAAGAAATTTTAGAACTCTGGATGAAAATTTATTTTTGAACAGAAAGTGACGGAGAGGTCTTAAAATTGTTATTTTCAACCCACACAATCGTAGAAAAATGCGAGTGCCAAGATGTTATCCTATGGCTTCCAAAGCTGAAAAAATCACATTTTACGTGATCCTCATCTATCCTTCTCTGGACGTCTTCACCACATTCGCCGGTCCATGTGATCGTTGTATCGTCGGCAAACAATGTCAAGTGTCCACTTATAGGTAGAGCCGCCAGATCATTAACATAGAGCATAAATAAAAGGGGTCCCAGAGTGGATCCTTGTACAACTACATGCTCCAACTTTTTGATCTAATGACATGGCCATTTTCATCTCTAGTTTCTACCAATTGCTTTCGTTCCTGCAGGAACGATTGCGTTTTCATCCATCAGATTGCATACTTCGAAGTTTATCAGAACGTGAATAAAACGGCCCTCAGAGTTGCTTTTAGGGGCTGTTTATTTTTTGTTGGCGCGACCTCGGATGTTGTTAACGATTTTCCATGTTTCCCTGGTTGATGATCTTGAATGTGTTATTCTATTTAGGTGATTTAGTTGCTGGTGTAGAACTTGCAGAGGTAATTAAGTGATCGTTTATTTTTCGCTGAAATTTTGATCCCCTTTGTTATCCATAACTTCTATTCAGTTGTCTTAGTCGTTCTGCAGTCTACACCATTTCATAACTTTTGGAGCTGAATATTGGTCTAGATATTGATATTATTTATGTTCAATCTGAATGGGGTTATTCATTTGGCCGAGGATAAGTTCATGATCGGACAAGTCGATTGGGTGTATTTCCAATTTCTACTGATAACTCACCTGCTGGCAGATTTGTTCATAAATAATCGATTATGCTAAACGATAACGTGGCTATTCTGATTGCTGTTTTAAGGTGCATTTTTATTCCACACGCTTGCAGACAACATTTGAGTTGATCGGTGAAAATGATTGTACAATTGCAATATCCGGTTAAGCCGCCTCAGAATAAAGAAAACAGTGTCTGGCAATATTGCTCTCAGTATGAGTCTCAGTGGTTCAAAAAAAAGTAATTGTTGATGAGGCAAAAACAACAAAGTTCGTCGATTTTAATCTGATACTCCAAAGGAATGTGAGCTGGTGCCTCCCTACATTAGAACGCCAGTGGTCACCTGACGTCACACCTGTTTTTGCCTTAAGCTTCACCCGTTCGCTTCTTGACATCCACATGGATAACCTCCCAAAATGACCTAAATTTAATATGGCCTGGTTTGCCATAGGTAATTTGAAGTGTTTTAGGGATGGAGAACTGCTTAAGGTTTATTATTGCCTTTGCTGACAGTCATATGAGATATGGAATTAACTTCTGTGCCCCAATCAGTTCCAGGGAGTAGAAATTACGAGAGAAAGTAGGCGTGGCTCCCAAAACTGTGTGGGTAATTTCTGTGAAAAACTGAATTTACAAAAATGAATAATTCAATAAAGATTTTCTTTAAGCCCTCTAGAATCATGTCAACCTTGCTTCAGATAAAACAACATATCTGTCACTTCCATAGGGGGCCATACAATGAGAATTGAATGGGGGCAAATTTTTGACTTTTCCTGGTATTTTTGAGAAAATCCAAAATAGCCATATTATGTATTTTTTCCGTAGAATATAAAATGCAATTTACAGAACGATTTAGTTGACCAGAATTTTTAATCAGGGATTAAATTCAACATTGTTGTCAAATGATAGTTTATGGAAAACTAAGACATGGGTGGGTACATTCAGGCGGTGCCAGCGGCTAAGCTCAGTCACTCAGCAGGGACTTTATTCTCGAAACCGAGGAACAACGATTGTTCTGTAATTGTCAGTGTTATGGAAATATGAATACGGACGACGAAGACAGACCTTCGTTCTCATGAGAACGCTGCTCCCCTGTTACGAGAATCAAGTCCCTGCTGAGTGGCTTAACTTAGCCGCTGGCACCGCCTGAATGTACCCAATGTATGATCGGTTTTGCTCTAAAATTTACCGTTTTGGTTTTACAGCCTGTCAAAGTTGCAAAAAAGTCAATTTTCAACTGTCAAATATTTCTGAAACAGTTAAAGATAGGTATAGGACATGATACACAAAATAGGTTCAGAATTTAACGTAGAATTTGAAAATGAATTAAAAAATTGGTACTTTCATTTAAAAATAAAGTTAGCTGTCATAACTTGTTTATGGGTCACCCTGTATAGGTACATGATAATATCATAAAAAAAAACGGCCACTAAAATAAAAAATCGGCGTGTCCGAGGTTTTTTGAAAAAGTTCAACTCTGTATATTTTATGGATTTTATTCCAACCAACCTTTACCTGCTCACTGTATATTAGATGAAATGTTCACTAGAAGAATGGTTCCAGATTGTTATTTTCTAAATGTAGATAATTTGCACTTCAAACTAGACGAAGATATTTGGCTGAACACAATACAAGTATTTCCCTGAAGACAATTTTAAGTTTGGAACTTTTATTTGAAGAGATGAAGTCGTTAAACAAACATGATAAAAAAAAAATCTTCTTGGGTATATTCCTACAAGTAAACGTGTATCCTGTGGAAATCTTCAACCACCACAACTATATTTGATTCACAGTATTTTCAATGGGACTGTCATCTGATCCAAGAGCCTGACTGCTTCAGTTTTCTCTCAAACAATTATTACTTCTAACTTGATATGAATGCAAAATATTCAGGACAGATATTTGTACCTGATATCAATTATATGATCCTTAACTTTCAATAGGAGCAGAATATGAAAAGATCCTGGAGAAAAATAATTACTTGGCAAATCGGAGAGGCAGCCATTTGACTTTTATCAAGAGAATAAGACCCTAAAAAGATATCCTGTTTCAATAACGACTTGAATGGTGCTAATGTCAAGCTCCTTAAAGTCTTTGTGGATGATGGCCTAACATGGTCAACTCATATTTATCAGTTATAACTTGAACTCTGCAAACATGTTTATCTGTTACTAGAATTGAAAAAAATGTTTGGTAAAGAAATTCTTGTCATGCAACTATTTACTTACTATCTTATCATTCTTATCTAATCAGCTATGGCATTATTCTATGGGGAATCAAAGTGGTCAAAGGTATTTAAGATCCAAACAGCAATTGATGGAGTCAGAAGGCGTACATCGCACTGGCCGCTTTTGAGAAAATTTAACATTAAGTAAACATCATCACTCTTCACTCACACTATGTATGTACTTGATACCTTGATAGAAATCCAAAAAGATCTATTTCTTTATCACTCATATTCGACAAGATCTACAAATGACTTACAACTTTCAAGACATTGGCACATTGTGCCCGCAACTCCTTAAATCTAAATATGTCGTTGATATTTGTATGCATTAGATTTAATTATTGAAATTTGCTTATATGACAAAAAACCAATGTAATGTTGTCAAATAGGTGTCTATAAATTATCTATCCATATTATGGTATTTTTTAAATATAGAAAGGATTTTCCACAATTTAACACCTGCTTATTAAACATTTTAGATTGGCTGGAATAACCCAAATAAACAACCAAATAGGAGTTTTAGCTGAAATTTGTGTGGGTGAAACCCTCCCTGAAGCTGAAGCTGTACCACGGCACATGGCCGACTGGTTAATTAGCAATAACATTATCTCGCATATTTTCGGGCCCAATTTACATGTGGAAGTAATCAAACAAAGTCACATTATTCTAAATTTTCTTGCAATGGAAGGACGTATAACTTGCGAACATATGGACGTCATTTGGGCCGCTGCTCAATTGAAACATTGTGCCAAACCTGTGCACGACCTACTTCCAGGCTTGGTTAAGCATTTAGCTGCTGCTCCTACTCTACATCTTTATAATTTGCTCACCAAATTGGAACCTAAAGATCACACCGAACAGACTTTGTATTTGGCTAGTGCTCTTATCAAAGCTATTTGGTCTAGAGGTAAGAACAGGTTTTGATTATAGCTTTTTGCTGGAATGCTCAATACAGGATATTTACAGGTGGGGCTTCTCCAGAAGTGGGTTTAATCAATGTGGCCGCGTCCAGTGCAGGAATAGCTTTGCATAAATGTGCTCCGACTTCGTCAGAGAACAGGTTGGTGTTGGTTTCACAAAAAATACTATTATTTTCTTCAAACCTGGTGATTTTGTGTTTCATTCAGTAACAAAAAATGCAATATTTAGAATATGCTTTTAATGAAGAACATTAGATATGTTTTATGTCTTTATTTTTTCATATCTAACAAATACGAGGTTTGAAGAAAAAATAATGTGCCTTATTCCATAGTAAAAGCTCATATTAGAACAATAAACTAGTTTATTGTCCTTAAATTTTTTAGTGTGTCATTGGATCCAAGTAATTCGGAAGAAGACCATGGAGAAAGTACTGGACATTCGGAAAGTCACAAATCCGATAGTGAGGATATTGATGGTATTGAAATTGAAGATGATGATAATGGGCAAATTGTCGTGGATAATAATGGACCTCCACCTTGTAAACTTGCCAGGTAAGACCAGTCTAATAACATTGTACCTACTAAACATAGTGCCTTACTACCACATTTGAAATATTCATGTGAAACCCCGTCGGCCTGTAAAAGCTTGAAAATATTTTCATAATATGAAAATTAAACTAGAACAATCTCTTTTTCAGAAAACAAATGATTGAACGAGTCCACGTCGATCATCTTGCTCCAAACAGCAGTACCGACACGGAAATCGACGGGATTCCCATAAAAACAACCCCAGAACAAGACAAAATAAAATGGCCAGCATCCGTCAGAACAAAAAGCGAAAAAAAGGCGCACGTTCGCAAAAAACTCCTATCAACATTAAACTTGAATGTCGTCATGCCAGAAGGAGTCGAAACCATTGGGTCTAGCAGTAGCCAGGATGAGGCCGATTTGGAGGGTAGTCCATCGAAAATTAGAAAAAGGTAGGAGTTGTTATTGGTAGATTATTGGAAATAATTTTGCTTGTTTCAGAAGGAAATACTTGAGAAAGGCACGCGTGAAACGTCAAAAGAGCAGCAACAAAAGAGCGATGCGTCTAGCAGGCGTCGAGGTACTGAGCGAACAGGATAGCGATCATGAGGTGAAAAATTTAAAAACACAATCTGCCCAGGAGAGTATGTTGTTGCCTACACAAATTAATGATTTGGTAAAAACTTCTGGCTTAAACAAATCCCTGTTTTATTTTGACTACTTTTTTTTGCAGGTTCATGCCTCAGGAACTCTTAAAACCAACGTTTATCTCGAAGAAAGCTCGTCTTGTAGTGAACTGGGCAAAGAAGAACATCACCATATAGCCCAGCCGTCGGCCTGTGGAAATTACATTACGATCCACTCTAATGGAAGTCATATTTTGGAGATGCTGAGCGGGGAGGAGGCAGAAGTTGAAGGTAAGGATTCTTTTTGATAAGTAACTAACATCGAAAAGTACAGTAATTGGTGAAGTTAGTGCCAATAATATAAATAGTTTCTATAACAAATGGGCCCGTCCCGCTAAACTGAAATGAATGTTTCCAATGTAAGACAAGTACTTCTACTACACTAACATACCGTTTAGTATAGTTATTGAAATTATTCATTGAAACATAACAATTCCATTTAAGATTTAATTTTTGTCATCATTTGAAATATGTTTTCGCGCCTCTATGACGTATTATGACTCCAGCCAATAGTAGACGAACAAAAAAAAATCCATAACGACCTATTTATGCAAACTCTGAAAAATAGGCAACCAAATATACACTGATAGGCCAAGGCACTTAGCGAAATAACAGCCATATTTTAACATAAAATTTAACAGCAAACTATCGATGCAATATTTTTAAGGATCATTTATAGATGCTAAAAACCAAAAATGCAACATCTAATTACTTTTAGGGGATTTTATAAACAATATTCAGTGCAAAAACAGGGCTTTTTTTTTTGTTTATTTCACTGTATTTCGAAAACTAAGTATCGGATGGTTTTGCTACTGTGGCAATAGTTTTAGAGCATTGAACAAGCTTTAAAATGAGCCATCATACAACCCTGTAGGTCTTTTAGTCTTCGAGAAATGATTTTTTTTCCCCCAAAAAAGAGATTTTCGTAAAAAATTCCTAACTTTTTTAATTTTCATGCTAGACAATTAATTTTTTACACATACATAGTAGATGAGGCAGGCTTTATTGAGCCCAAATTTGGGCCCGGTCCGATGGGTCGTTTCGGCATAATACCCTTGTCAAGCAAAATGGGGATGTTTCTAAAGCAGTCTGTCGAATTGAGGATAATTTTTTTATATTTATTTTGAAAAGTCCACTGATAAGTCGAAATGCCAAACTATCGATCCTCTATCTCAGATTTTCCATTTAATTTTTTTATCGCAAGTAAAACGGCTTCGAACATGACTGAAAATGACGGGAATTCAAACGGAGTGACAGCGAGCTCCCCCCCGCCCACGCAAATTACATTTTTTTTCCATTTTCAGTGATGTTTGGAGCCGTTTTACTTGCGATAAAAAAATTAAATGGAAAATCTGAGATAGAGGATCGATAGTTTGGCATTTCGACTTATCAGTGGACTTTTCAAAATAAATATAAAAAAATTATCCTCAATTCGACGGACTGCTTTAGAAACATCCCCATTTTGCTGGACAAGGGTATTATGTTAAAATGTTATGAAAGTAAGTATGAGAGAGCAAGCACAAAAATATCCTGCTCAAAATCTGAGCTCGAATGGTATTTAGTACGGCAATTCCACGAATGCATAATCAAAATAAAATATGGAAATACTTTTTAAAATGAACAGTTATTGAAGGTACAATTAGAATAAATATTTTGCCCCTTAAAATTTGACTCTACAGAAAGAGAAGAAGACTCTGTGTTCTCAGGAATTGAATTTTCTATTTCGCTATAAATTCATCTTTAATTGTCCCAAATCGCTGCATGTTGAAAATATTTTTAATATTATTTAAAAATACACTTTTAATAAGCTAAAATGATAGAACTTGTGAATTTTTGTGACAATTATTTGACAGATGATTCAAAAACCAATTTTATATGCAATTGTTACTACGGTAACGATTGCATCAACAAAAAATTTATCCGATTTTTTTATCCAGTTATATTTTCTCTTCCTTCCTATTTATCCGCTAGCAAACTACGATTTTTGACATTTCAAATGGGATTATTTATACATGAGTGGAATTGTCGTAGGTAATACCATAAGAGCTCAGATTTAGCCGGATATTTTTTGGCTTGGTCTCGAATACTTACTTTTAGGAAATTTAACGAGAGCTGTTCGCGACAAAATCACGAGAGCGCAGCTCGAGTGATTTTGTGGAACAGATCGAGATAAATTGCATGAAAGTAAGTATAAGAGAGCAAGCAAAAAAATATCCTGCTCAAAATCTGAGCTCGAATGGTATTTAATACGGCAATTCCACGAATGCATAATCAAAATAAAATATGGAAATACTTTTTAAAATGAACAGTTATTGAAGGTACAATTAGAATAAATATTTCCCCTTACAATTTGACTCTACAGAAAGAGAAGAAGACTCTGTGTTCTCAGGAATTTTCTATTTCGCTATTAATTCATCTTTAATTGTCCCAAATTGCTGCGTGTTGAAAATATTTTTAATTTTATTTAAAAATACACTTTTAATAAGCTAAAATGATAGAACTTGTGAATTTTTGTGACAATTATTTGACAGATGATTCAAAAACCAATTTTATATGCAATTGTTACTACGGTAACGATTTCATCAACAGAAAATTTATCCGATTTTTTTATCCAGTTATATTTTCTCTTCCTTCCTATTTATCCGCTAGCAAACTACAATTTTTGACATTTCAAATGGGATTATTTATACATGAGTGGAATTGTCGCTGAAAAACCATCATGTTGGTTTTGTCCAGGTAGGAACAGTTTTGTCAGTAGGAAACCGGCCGTTCCTATGACATTTTATCAGCGTAAAATGATGGTAAAACACTCTGGTGAAATAGTCAAAATAGTTATTTTCCTAACAAGTGCGCAAAGTGATACTTTCCCGCACGAAAAAGTAGGTAGACGAACGACGCGAAGCGGAGTTCGGATAAGCTTTGAGTGCGGGAAAGACACTTTGCGCAAGTGTTAGGAACAATATTTTTTCTATGAGTGTTTGAAGATTTGCATCCAGAGGAGCTGAACCTAATTTTCTTAAATGTTTCCAGATGCTCAGAATTGGTAATTTTCTCTTCTAGTTCAATGTGTTGTGTTTTCAATTTTTTTTTTTAGTGGCCAGTTTGACTTTATTTGCAACATTGGTTGTGCTAGCGACGTTTACTTATAATTTGAACAAGTTTGTTTTTCCTGCCAAATTTTGGTATGGAGGAAGTATAACTTACAATCCAACTTTTATAATCTGATACTCCAAAGGAATGCGAGTTGGTGGCTCTCCATGCCAATGGTCGCCTGACCTCTCATATGTTTTTGCTGGATTTTACCTCCACTCGCTTCTCGTACGGAAAGTGTCAAATTAAAAAAGCTAAACATCACCTGAATGCCTTTCTTGGAACAAAAATAATATCAGGCCCTTCCTTATGAATATAAGATCTTCAAATTAAAATAGATCAGGGACTTACCTGCTCGTTGGTGTCTCTGGCTCTGCAGAAGGCATTTGATACAGTAGATCATGGTATTTTGTTAATAAGATTAAAGGAGGCTGGTATAAGGGGAATTCCATACCTTTGGTTTGAAAACTATCTTCTAAATAGGAAACAATATGATGCCAATGTGAATAGTCTAAATAGCAGTTTAGGAGTAATTAAATGCGGGGTTCCACAGGGGTCAGTTTCAGGTTCCACTTTGTTTTTAGTCTACATAAACTCAATTGGGAAACTATTTTTAAGAGGTAATATAAAGCTTTATGCTGATGATACAACACTAGTGTACTATGGTCAAGATGTAGAAACAATAAAGAATGACATTTGTAGTGATTTGTCTGAAGTGAGCATATGGCTTAAGTCTCATAAATTGACTGCTAATGTTGAAAAGTCATCTTACATGTTTTTGAGTAGAAAAAATGTAAACGGCGTTCAGCACAATATATTGTTTGAAAGTCAACAATTGCAAAACATCTCTGTCATAAAATAAGTGGGTCTTTACATAGACAGTACACTTTCGTGGTCTGCACACATTGATCATATTCGAAAAAAGATAGCGCCTTTTGTGGGACTTTTGTTTAGAGTTGGCTACTTATTGACAAGAAAATTACGTAAGCAGTTATACTATGCACATATTTATAGTCATTTGCATTACTTGATATCAGTCTGGGGCACAGCGGCAAATTATATGTTAAATCCTCTAAGAGTTCTCCAAAACAAAAGTATAAAAAATGTTTTTTTTTTATTGATAAGCCATTTCACTTATTTAAAGTACTCCTGAGCGTGTTTAAATCCAACATTCAAAAACGCGCGTGTTTTAAAGCTACTAATGACAACATCAACAACCAACAGCCCGAGAAAGGTCCTGAATGTCAACTTTTTAATTATTGATTTGTCAGGAGTCAGGAGTAGGTACTTGTAGACAACGTCAAGTAAAATATAGCAAGTGTTAACGAATTTAGCATTCCACAATTATTAGTAATTTTTGATTTGAACGTATAGGTACCAATAAAAAAAAATAGTGTAAAGTATTCGTGGATAACTGGTCTTTAAAACACTTGCTCTATTTCGAGCACTCCGGCTGCGCCGTCGTGCTCGAAAAATCGCGCGTGTTTTAATATCCACTTATACTTTAATAAACTTCCCTTAAGATATAATACCGAGCAATTGTATAAAAAGAGTAAATTCCTGAATATTAACCAAATTTATAGTTTTAAAATAATATTGTACATTTATTATATAAGTAACAAGAACAAAAGATCAAATATTTCATTTGTGAATGTTCCAAATATTCATAATCATCACACTCGACAGGTGAATAATTTATATATCACATGAGTTAGATCAAACATAGGATTAAATTCAATCTACCACAGAGGTGTGAAATTATACAATACCTTGCCGCTGACCCTAAGAGGTATCACTAAGCATTTTTTATTCAAAAAAAAACTGAAACAATTTATTTTAGGTCTCTCCTAGCCTTCTTATTGGGGTATTCAGGCTGAATCTGTTTGTTTTTTTTTAATTTTTTAATTTTTTTATGTTTCGCTGTCTCTCACTCTCTTGCAAACCTTAAATATACTTAGGTAAGAAATAGAAAATAAAATGTTATTTACTTGTGACTGGTTCCTTTCATGTGATAAAAGTAGGAAATAAATATGTATATTTTTCAGTTAGGCATAACTATTTAGTAAATTAATGATTAGATGTTTTATACCTATTATTAATACTGAGATAAATATCTATGTTAAAGCGCGCCCATCCTAAATGATAATAGGCCCCTTGCATCAAATTTTTTTATTGCTGATTTCGATAGTCCATGAAAAAAAAGTCAACACGTGTTTTTTCTTTTTCTTCTTAGTCAAAAATTGACGGAGATACAACGCTATGAAATATGCCTATGACATCATCAGGTATAATACTTTATGACGTCGCACATGCTCAGTATATCTATATATACAAAACTTAATATTTGTATAACTTCCGAAATAATCATATTTGGGCGAAATGAAAAAAAAGTAACGATTTTTTTTCGATTTCCTACAGTTTGCAATAAACAATAATCAATTTAATTTTCCATGCAAGTACCCTATTGTTATTTTGTTTGTTATATATAAGCTGATTCCTAGGATAAGAATATTTTTTGTTAATTCTTCTTGGAATCAATAAAGCTGATTTACTTAAAGTTAATCCAGAAACCCACAAAACATTGAAAAATCGAGTATAAATGCGGTAACTATGCATAACAAAAATGAGTGCGCAAAGAGTTTCCGTGCGCAAAGTTCAACTTTGCGCACGCAAATGAGTGTGCAAAGTAATAACTTTGCGCACGCGAGTAGAATAAGATATTATATTCCGTACTTTTCTCAATAATACTACGGATGGTTTGTAGGTGGTCTGTTGTACTATAATATTTCCGAAATCCCGCTTGTTCGGTAGGTTGATAGAAGTTTAATTTTCCCGTTAGCCTATTAGTTATTACTTTGATAAATAGCTTGTAGAGGTGTGATAGTAGACTGATTGGTCTGTAGTTCTCAATATTTTGACTGTGTGCTTTCTTATACAGTAAGATGACTTCCAGCAATTTGCAATGTGTTCGGGATTTTTCCGGGGTAAGGCATTTGTTTAGGAGTATTCTTACAGCCTCTTGAATATTCTCCCCTCCTATTTTAACTTTAAGCATTTCGCTAGTTAGCCTGTCTTCTCCTGGACTTTTCCTATCTTTTATATGTTTCAGTGTATTTGTTACTTCCCAATTACTTATTTCAGGAATGTCTTCAGAACCAACATTTAAAACGCATACACATACTTTTTTGGTTGCTACTTGTATGCTGCTTACGATTTCTGTGGCCAGGTCATTCATCTCCATTTGTTCTAATGCTCAGTTTACTTTCTAGTATTTTTTGAAATTCGTCTTTATTCTGATTTAGTTGGGAAGCTTGGTTAATCTAGAAGCTTACTTCTTTCTATTCTGGTGTTCACAACTATGGTTGCACGTACAAGCCGATAGGCGCTACCTGTGTCGAAACGATTTAATACAGAGATGCTTCGGCAAATATCTCGTTTATGAATGAATGAACGAATCTTTATTTACGGACATGACATTTTACATTTCAATTCAACAATAGTAAACAATTAATAAACAAAAATAATGCTTAAAAATCTAAATTGTTTAAGAAATAAACAAGTTTGATACTAACAACCTTACAAATAATTTTTAACAAAATAAATACATATATCTGTAGGTGCAAAACAACCTCAACTAAGATTTTTAGGCTTTTATTATTTTCACAGCAGCCTTTTCCTTTTCAATGTATAAACTTAAATACAAAACTTATTCTAAGAAAAAACTTACTTACAACCACAGTGGTTTAACAAACAATAAACAAATAGTGGAGAATAAAACAGTAAAACAGAAAAAAAAACAGAATAAAAGAATAGAAGCTAACTTGCAATATAAAAAGGTAATATGACTAGATGGATTTTATCTTAGCTTCAAAAGCATTTAAACTACTATTGAAAATATCTATATTAAGATTATTTATCACAGAATTGGCCAGTCTACAAAATCTAGTTAAGGGAGAATAATAGTATATTATATACCTAGGGACTAAAGTGACTCTTTTTATCCCGAGGCGAAAAGTTTGTACACAATTCGTCGAGGGATAAAAAGACACTTTAGTCCCGAGGTATATATACTATTTTATGTACTTTAGAGGATAGAAAAACTGTAAAAAAATAGTATATTACTAGCACTAGTAGCACTTCCTCAGATATTCCAATTTCTATTCCAACGGCACAAAATGCAAGGACAGAAAGTGGAAAACCAACGCCAGCAGCGGCGCATGCGACGATTGTGCAGAATATGAACACTTTAGTCAATAAAAATATCACCCCCAATAATTAGTCACCACTTTTTAACTTATCCAGTTGTAGTGGAGTTAACATAAATGCAAATATCAATAAAAATTAGTAGCGTTTTATAGTCACCTGAGTTTTTAATTCTAATTTGTACTAATGCAATATTGCTTACTTACCTATTTATTTTAGGGATTAAAATCATTTTTAATCCCTTAGGGATTAAAATCGTTTTTAATCCCTAGGGAAAAAAAGTGCCACTTTAGTCCCTGAAAAGTATTCTTTTAGTCCCTAAAGTACATAAAAATCATAATTAGTAGGGTGATTTTTGATATAAAATGGCCTATTATTTATTATTTCTAATGTTACTACGAGGAGTATTTAATAAAAGTTCAGGTGAATCGATAATGTTATTAATCAATTTATGAAAAATACACCAATCATGTTGGTTTCTTCTTTGCTCTAGAGTCTGGATATTTAAAAGTTTTTGGAGATCATTGTAGTTGATAGAATCATACCTTATTCCTACTTTGAAAGCTATAAATCTTAAACATCCCGGAGACCACACAGGACTTGCATACTCCAATATCTGACGGACAACGGCAGAATATGCATTTTTTAGGGTGAACACATTATTAAAGTCCTGAAGACTACGTACAACAAAACCTAGTAACCTCATAGCTTTATTAGAAATTATTTCTATGTGTTCTGTGAAATTTAGATCAACATCCAAATAAACCCCCAAAATCTCTCATTATATACACACCAGGGCAAGCAAAAATCTTGCACTTGCATGCCAATTTTAATGGGATAGAATGAAATGTCTAGAGGAAGTTTAAGGTTGAATAGAGAACGAAAACGATTTCCCCTGTTCCACCTCTAACATTCCCAGCGCTTTTGCTGGAGGTGAAACAGGGGAAATCGTTTCCGCTCTCTATTTAACCTTAGACTTTTTCTAAACATTTCATTCTATCGCATTAAAATTGGCATGTAAGATGTTTACTTGCCAGGCGTGTATATTCTTTCAAGATCAACGCCCCCAATTGCGTAGTTAAAAATAGAAGGATTCTTAGTTCTGTGAAAGGACCTAATTTTGCATTTTTTTAAATTAAGGTTTAAATATTTTGGGGGCTTCTTGAAAAAAGAATTCATGCAGAATAGGTTTTCATTTCTGAGGTAATCCAGCAGTACTTCACCTCTTGCATTTCTAGTACCTAAACCAAAGTTGCCCATATTTGGAGGGTCATCTGTCAATTTTTGACCGATCTTTGCGTTTAGGTCCCCCATGACTATAACGAATTTTGCATTTTCTGCTCTTTGTGCATTGGTGATATCTTGGTATAGTTGTTCTATTTCTTCGTCCTCTGCGGAACTAGTTGGCGCATAGCATTGGATCAATGTTATTGTAACCTATATCACACGGTTTGAGATGGCTTGCATTTTGGTGAAAAGATGTTTAATTTTTTTATTTACCATTAATGCTGTTCCTCGTGCGAGTTTGTATCGGCGTTTTTTTGGTATAGCAAGTGTCAGTATAGTCGACTCTTCGCCTTTTAGTCTAGTTTCACATAAACCCAGATATCTCACTTGATATTTTTAAGTTCTTCTTCTAGTTGTTCTATATGCTCGTCCAACCTCATTTCCGGTGGCATTTCTGTATTATTCAGTCGTGTTGTATTCGGACTGTTCTGTATATCTTTCGAATTAGTGCCTCCCCCAGAATCCATGAGGCGCTCTGATAAATCAGAGCGAGATTTGGAGTTGATAGCTATACTCGCCTGGGGTAATATTGTTTCAGAATTCAACATGTTTTTCATTTGGAAGCCAGGCGGGTTGACAGGTGTTCCCAGGTAGTGATTCAGCCGACCATTCTGGGTACAGATGCTGTTTGTAGCCGCCCATTCTGGGTCAAACGCTACAGTTATGGATTAACTTGGCTTCTTTTCTCACCATTGACCTTACCAGCAATGGTGACCCTACCAGGAGCATTTGCTCCAGCTGACATCGCTCTCAGGATCCTTAAAAATACTGAGCCCTCTCATCACGCCAGGATGTTAATCTCCGAGAGGGAGAGAGACCTTCAATACAGTTTCATTATTATTATTTTCAGTTATATACAGAAATATAAACGAATTAACTATTTGACTTATATTGGTTATTTTTGTATGCATTATTTTGTGGAGTGGCACTTAGTTATGAAAATTGATTAAATACAGTATATAAAACACCTAATTTGAAAAACTTTGCAAACAATAAGATATATAAGAACATCAATCCTAGCCTCTAACTCCTTGAGTAGTTACATGGTTCACTAATAAAAAAATTGGTTTAGTTAGTCAGACAGATTTAAAGTATTAATTAATAGTTTTCAGTAAATATGCTCAAGTAAAAAGCAATAGAAAGAACATAACTCTGAAATATAACCGAATCCAAAGTCAATTACAATAAAACATTATTTTAGGTGACGCTGAAGGAAGTTATTCCTCCAGAATGAGTAACAAGTCTGAAAAAAATATGGCAGATTTTGATGGCGAAGATTCCGTTTGTGAAGAAGAACTGGCCCAGCTAACTGAAAATCATCCAAACCTAAATTTGCACATTATAGCCCACACTCCAGAGAAGGTTAAATAGAATTTCCCCAAATTTAGATAAGATTATAGAATATTCCTTTTTAGTCTCCACCGATAAGAATAATCGATTCAAGACTTTCTGCTTGTTTTAAAGCAGACAACGTCTGCCTACCAGGCAACACTCTTTTATGGGACCTACTGCAAGACGAGAAAATAAATAATTTGGGCGAAGGCTTGGCACTTGAAGCTGAAAAAACCTTGTGCAATCTCATCTGTTTTATGCCTGATAAAGAAATCAGAATGAAATTTATTGAAGGCTGTCTAAATAATTTAGCTAAAAATGTATCAGTGGTGGTTTCTTTACGTATGTTGCCTAAACTGTTAACGTCATTTAGAGGCTTAGAAATGCACCATGTCACCCAATGGGCTGAAAGACAGCATCACATGATGACACACTTTTTCAATAATCTTAAAGCCTACACGTTGAATCCAGACAAATCTTTGATGTTGTACTCGCATCAAATGCAAGTGCAAGTAAGGCTGCATTTTTTGTCTGCAGTATTTTCCCCTATGGTTTCCTCGAATACTTTTATGCTTAGCATTGACCAAGTGGACACTTTATGGGAATGTTTGGCGCATGATCCAGAATGCTCAGATGAATTGTTCAGTTGGTTGCTGTCTCAAACGAAAACCACTGAACTGCATGCTTTAAGAATCGATGCCCTGAGGCGGTTGTATCTCCATCATTTGCCTAGTCTGGCTCCAGAGAAGTTCAGTACGATTTGTTTGACTCTTTTTCAACATTTGTGTGGGCTACATCATTTGATGACTGCTCATTTGGAGGGCGAGGACAAGGAAAGTAAAAATGTTGGGATGGATCATATGTGGAAGATTGCACTAAGGGCTAATAACACTGGTAAGAATTTTATTTTGTATGATGAAAAGAGCAGATCTTAATTTCAAAAATTTATTTTAGCCACATTTTTTTTGTTTTATTTGCACTATTAAGGATTCGCTCGCATAGAAATGTTTATCATGTTGATAAATTTAATTTTTTTTTAGATGTAAGTATGTCAGCCATAAGCTACATAAACAGCTACTACATGGGCCAAAATCTTCAGCACGAAAACCAATTCGTATCCCAATGCATGACCAACTTAAAAGCGTCTTCAGAAGACCTGGCATCCAACACGACTGAAGAAGCTTCATTGCTTTGCATCCAAAGAGCCCTACTACTAATGAAAACCCACATAGAAACTTTTAAAAAACGATATGCTTATCACTTGAGAAAATGGGCTTTGGAAGGCAAAGGCATCGGAAGTCATTCCGCAGCTTTAGGAGAACGGTCCAGCGCTCCAATTCGGCTTGTAGTGCAATCGGGAAGCTGTACTGAAAGATGCGTGCTGGAAATGTACCTCACAGATTATGTGGCTGATTTACGTGCTGAGATTGTTAAATGGTGGGAGGGAATTGCAAAAATACGGTCTCAAGAGGAAGGTGGGGAAAGTAATATCAGTTCTGGAAAAAAACCTGATACTTGGATAAGAATTATCACACAAGGTAATACATTGCTGTGACGGATTTAGGTGATTCATTTTTTTTCCGTTCCCAGGTCAAGAACTTTCCATAGACTGTGACGAAAAATCATTGCAAGAGATGGGCTTCAAAGATAACCAAATCACTTACATTTCAGTCGGTATGTCGAGAAACATGAAAAAGAGAGAGTTTCAGGATGCGCCCTCTACTCAAGCGGCGCCACCAAGGGATTGTTTACCCACATTGTTGTTGTTGAAACCCAGCTATTTTGAGCAACTATTCTCGTTGATGCATACACTGAGTTCTATGAAGATTGTAGTCAAAGGTAAGAACATTGACATTGGCAGCCACCAAAATATACACAAATGCGCACTATTTGCCATGGCTTATACATATAGTGAATTATTATCTCTTATCCCTTTTCAAAACTATTTAATTTTCAAATACATTTCTTGAGATAGTTGCCAGAGCTATTTAATAGCGATATACAATCTGGCTAACCTATTTGGTAAAAATAACACCATCTATGAACCTCCTTCTTCAATTATTATCTTAGGTGGCAGAGTAATTCCACACACTAAGGCCCAAGTCCTCAGCAGACGCGTTTGGGATATCTTAAGCCTCGTTCCTACCAGTCCTAAATTGCTACAAGGCTTCCAGCAACTAGACATACCCCTAACAGATCTTCTAGACCCTTCCAGCGCTCAAAAACTGATGTACTCTCTTTACATAGTAGAGTCTCTGAGTATTAAACAAAATAAATTCAGTGATGAAGAAGAGGAACCGTGGACAAGAAAATTTATACAACACGGTGGTTTGCGGCATCTTTATGACATTTTTATGTCAGGTGTGTTGCAACATGAAAGTGGTGATGGGAGCGATTGGCAACAAGATTGTTTAGCCTCTCTATTGAAGCTTTTATGTCATTTGGGCGTTGATCCGTTACCGCATGAGTCTAGACCTGCTAGGAACGAGAAAATTTTTATACCAAGCTTAAATGAAGCTATGTTGTCTATGGTGAGTCTGGTTCGAATCAAAATAAAAATTATGCAAGTGAACTTTTGCTAAAGTTGATGTTTTAGGTGGATGTGAAAACAACCATGCCAAAATTAACCTGCATTTTAAAGGAGGCTTCTTTACCTAAGGATCCTAATCATTACAAGACAGGGTTTTGGGGTAGAGCTCAAGTACAGAATATTTGTGTGTTTGTGTTTATTTTTTTATATATTTTGTGTGTTTTAATAGGTTGTACACTATGCTATGGCTTTGTTAGTTTCCTGGCTGCATAGCAGCGAAGAAGCCAGACAGGGGCTGTTTGAATCGCCAGATTTTGGTGTTTGGTTACAAAGGTATTCCTACTTATAGTGGTAAAATCGAAATTCGCAACATTGTGGTATGTCTAGATTGGTCTTGGAAGATCCAGAACCCGCGGTACGCAGAGAAGTGTGTTCAGCGATTTATCGGCTGTGTCTAGGAGTGTCCGGTAGAGCCGAGCACATGGAAAGTACTTTGGTGGCTCCAATGTTGGCGCAATTGTTGACTTATCTCGAAAAGGCTGAAAATATGAGGCCTCAAAAGATTGAGTCTATGCAACCTCAAGAGGACGGCAAGGAACCCTATGGACCGGCTTGTAGGGATTATTTTTGGCTAGTGTCAAGGTAAGAATTAATAAGTTTGACTCCTTTTTCTCCAAGACTCGCACTGTGCACTCAAGTGATATCACGGTCAGGAAAACTTATCCATACTGAACCATTTTTTTCCAAATCTTGAAGAAAATTCTATATTTATCAGGTTAAATTTCAAAAAAAAAATCTCCTTCACAGGCTGGTTGATAGTCTCCCGGACGACTTGGTAAAAGAAAGTATCGAGGAACCTCAAAATTGTCTCTTGGATCTCAATGATCTCACCTCCAAAATCGCCCAATCGGTTTTAGCGCGTGATTATTTGGAAACCAGACACCGTACTGTTGATGATGATGGTCTCATTGGCCTTTTAAATCTTATCACGAATCTGATAAAGCACAGGCCACCATTTCAGACGGGTAAAGGCGGCCAGGAGCTTTTAAATGAGGCAAGCATATGAACTTTCAAGTAAATTTGTATATTTAGTGTAATATTTACAATAGGTGGTCGAGTTTCTATTTGCTCTACCCAACCCCAAACTTCGTCATGTACCCAAATGCAAATCACCCAGATCTCGTACTGCAGCATTTGATCTACTCGTCGAACTAGTAAAAGGGTGTCCTGGCAATTATGCCATTTTACATGAAAAACTTTTGAGGCAACACCAACCCGGCCCCAATTCGCCTTATCCTTGGGACTACTGGCCTCACGAAGACGGACGCTCAGAGTGTGGCTTCGTTGGACTCACAAATTTAGGGGCCACGTGCTATATGGCTTCGTGCATGCAACATTTGTATATGATGCCCCAAGCTAGGGCATCGATTTTGGGTGCCAACACTGAGGATTCAAAGCATGAGACAACCTTGAAGGAATTGCAGAGGATGTTTGCTTATTTGTTGGAGAGTGAGAGGAAGGCTTATAACCCTAGGAGTTTTTGCAAAGTAAGAATTTATTAATTTTGGTGGATTTATTTTTGAAGGTTTTGGTGGGATACTGTGTCTTACTCAATGAACTAGTAAGAAAGTTTGGAATGGGTTTTGCGTAACTCAAATGAATGAGATAGCGCTAGTAAGGGCAGAAAATCTCAAGGATCTCTCCCGTTCTCTCACTCTAATTGTGGCCGCAAATATACTTATTGAGTAAATAGGCAAGGGGCTATTCCAAACTTTACTACTTCATTGGTCTTACTTCAATACGAATATCATAGTCACTTCTGTCTGTACCAAAAGTGATGGGATACGTTTTTTCTTTTGATGTTACAAATATGAACGTTAGAGTCAGAACAGTTTCTAGTATCACCTACCTTTTTTAAATTTCCTAAAGGATTGAACATTTTAGGTTTATACAATGGATCATCAACCCTTGAACACAGCTGAACAAAAGGATATGGCAGAATTTTTCATAGACTTAGTCAGTAAACTAGAAGAAATGACTCCTCCACTCAAAGAAATAATCAAAACATTATTTTGTGGCGTTATAAGCAACAATGTAGTCTCCTTAGACTGTGGTCATGTGAGTCGTACTCTAGAAGAATTCTACACAGTAAGATGTCAAGTTGCAGATATGCGCAATCTCTATGAATCTTTGGACGAAGTGACAGTTAAAGACACTTTAGAAGGTGACAATATGTACACTTGTTCGCAGTGTGGCAAAAAAGTGCGCGCCGAGAAGCGTGCCTGTTTCAAAAAACTGCCTCAAATTCTAGCCTTCAATACTATGAGATACACTTTTAATATGTTGACAATGTTGAAGGAAAAAGTCAATACGCATTTTTCGTTTCCTTTAAGGCTTAATATGGCCGGTTATGTGGAAAAAACTTTAATGCCGCAACATTATCAGGAAGACAAAGTAAAAGAAGATCTAGAAAGTGAGCAGTATGAGTACGATTTAATTGGAGTTACTGTGCATACTGGTACAGCGGATGGTGGTCATTATTATAGCTTTATAAAAGACAGGACAACGTGTGCCAGAGACAAATGGTTCCTGTTCAACGACGCCGAAGTTAAACCTTTCGATCCCAATCAAATTGCAGCTGAATGCTTCGGAGGCGAAATGACTAGCAAGACTTATGATAGTGTCACTGATAAATTCATGGATTTCAGTTTTGAGAAAACCAATAGCGCTTATATGTTATTTTATGAAAGGTGAGGTTTCTGGTTGATTTTTTTTTTTTTTTTTAAATTAACAATTATTTCAGGTGTCCACTTTCTGCTCCTGAAAGTACTGAAAGCTCCTCGACGAATTTAGATATAATAGAAACTCGCAGTACTTCGCCAGCGCCTAGTGCCACATTTGAACTGAGCAAGGAATTGGAAGATTGGATATGGGAGGATAATATGCATTTTATACAGGATAAAAATATTTTCGAACATACATATTTCAAGTGAGTACACTCTGTGAAATCACTGAAATCATAGGTATGTGCCTATCTTGCTTCATGGTTAATTTAGCCAACACATTATGGCTAAGCAAATTTTCTGCATAAAATCTTAAATTCTTATTTTGAGCAAATAATACAGTGTGCGCCATAAAGTATGTATGACAAAATTCTTAATTATTCATTTTTTCAAAAAACTTTTTGGGGATCGTTAGGACATGTTCGATCACCAAAAAATCGATTATGACACGTCATGCGGTTATCGGTTTAGTGGGCATTTTGAAAAAAGTTGATATTGATGTCGAAAAACGGGTAAATTTGGCAAGATATCAAAAAAATTTATAAGAAAAAGTTGTTCAGAATCCAAAAAGAACTCCACATGCCGATTTTGAAGCAAATCACAGAAAAAAAATAAAACTACTTATTTTACACATACCATTAAATGGAAAATCGAAAATATTAATTTTATTTCAAAAATAGCTTTATTCAACTAAACTACCTAAGTTTTATATGAAACGAAGCGATTGTTTTGCGAAATACACACTTGAAAGTCATACATTAGAAAATACGGTCTGGTCGGGTCACTATAACTGTACCCATGTCCCTTTTTGCACATTTTCTGGTCATCAAAAAAATAACATGACGTGTCATAATCGATTTTTTGGTTATCGAACATGCCCTAACGATCCCCAAAAAAAGTTTTTTGAAAAAAGGAATAATTAAGAATTTTCACATATGTACCCAACTTTATGGCGCACACTGTATATAGTACGGGATACGACGCCTGTTTTCCGTACAGAGAACGTCGATTCTCGAATCGTGTGATTTCTGTTCTCATAGGAAAAGTAGGGGTGGTTTCTATTGAAATCTATTACGATGTATTCTCAAAATTAGGGACCGTTCACTTCCTATGAAAGTTGAGGGAATTTTATTCTACTACTTTTTTTGAAGAGAACGTCTGTTCTCGGGAGAACCAAACGTCAAACATGCGCTTTTTGTCAATTCTACATCAGCCATCATCCATGGTATAACGTGGGAAACCATGGAAGCTGGGGTTATAGGAAGAATTCTTGTACTGAATGATTTACTAGATGCAGAAGAGCAAGAAGAATGGCCTATAATAGACCGTCAGCTAATGACATATTTTGCTGACCGATTTTCTCTCTTCGAGGATTTCAACCACTGAAAATTATGTCAGTGCTGAGCTCAAAAAATTGAAATTGAAGGCATATGGAAAATGTTCTTTCCTTTTGCAGCGGACGTAACATATACCTCAACAGCTGACCGGCTTATAGGAATTTTTTTTCTGGTTCTTACCAATACCAAATTTGATTCTGTCAATTGCCATAAGCGAGGAAACGATCAGCCACCGAATATCCTTTCACAAGATCGCGCCCTTGTTTCAACCCTTTCAGTACGTGCAAACCTTATGGCTTTGGTTTTTCACTATTAGATTGTTCTACAATGTTAAAGTGTTAAAATGCCATGAAAGAGAAATTGGAAAAATAACCTATTTTTTTTTCTGCAAGAGGAAAATTAATTTTCCATATGCCTAGCAGATGTCCGGCCGCTAAATTTTCATTTTTTGAGCTCAGCACTGACATATTTTTCAGTGGTTCAAATCCCCGAAGAGAGAAAATCGGTTAGTAAAATATGTCATTGGCTGACGGTCTATAAGGAGATTTTACAGAAGAGAAAATCCCTTTTTTTAACGGATAATAAATTTATAAAACTATTTAGATTAAGCAAAGATCCTGCTCGAAATTTAATTGATTTATTGACACCTTTTATACGGGCTCCAACTAGAACTTCATCATTAAAAACTGTGGTAAAATCGGAGGTAAATTTTCCACTTTGAAGTTTCTCATTTTGCCTTTACAAATTCAATGAGCATTTCTTTTTGAGTATTATTTATAGGTGAACATCTTGATTTTTCCAAATTCATTTTCCACATAAACAAAACAACATGAAAATAAAAATTGTAAATAGAATGATTAATGATTTGATTTTCATATAAATAAGCAAAGAATGAGGTTACGTCCCAAAACACAAATAAAACCTTAGGCTATGGTCCAAATATAACCAAACGTAACGGTTGACAGATGGTTACTGAAAATTCCGGTTACTTGAAGAACGCGAATATGAAATAATAAATAATTGACAGAACTTACAGATAAAACCAACAGAACCGACATCCAATAGCCGGTAACTATTTTGACATTTGGTTAACCAGATTTCAGGAAACCAAGGTCCAAAAGTACCCACTTTTCCAGGAACCAGAATAATTTGATTACTTTCGGACCGCGAAACCACAACCCTGGTTATATTCGGACCACAACCTTAGAATAAAACGAATAAAACAAACTGATTTTCTTCTTTCTCATGACATTCGTCCTTTTAACACACTAAAATTGTGGCTAATTCTACATATTACTGTTGGCAACAACGGATTATGATTTGACAAGTTTTCTCTCATTCTATCATAATCCCATACGTTCGAGAATACCAACTTTGGCACAAAGAGAACGAGCGTGCGATGTGATCTCTCACTTCTCTTAGGGGAACGATTACTTCTACCAAATTCGAGAATCAACTACCTGATAGTTAGCTGCATAGGGTCTCTCCCCGTATATTGACCCCTTCCTCATGTGAAGGGATATCAAAAAATTGTAAATACAAAAGTTTTGAGGTTTTACCTGAAATTTTTGTATCCGATGTCTAAAACTTTTTGTTCTTTTAAAAATGTCAAATTTTGACAGATGGTTAGTTTTTTCCTATGGAACACCCTATATATTACTTCATAGTTGAAAAGAGTCAAATTTTCTGATTTCAAATATATGGTTTAACTTCTTTCAATTAAGCCTTTTTCGAATATCAGGCTCTAAACTTCATGAAAATTACATTGAAAGAGCTCCTGTGTCATGTCAAACAATAACAATGGCACCGCCACCGCCTACCAAGGTGTTTCAATATGTCGGGAAAGTTAGCAACACATTCGAAGCAGCATCGCTAAAACATGTTCCTGCCTGTGCTGCTATGGTCCTGCCTCATCCTGCTTCAAATCTGACCCTGGCAACACATACCATTTTCGAGATACAGCGATTTTTATTTCGGTTGCTTACTTCACCCTTGGCAACACATTGAGAGCAGGATCGCTGGAACAGGTTCCTGCTTGTGCTGCTATAGTCCTGCCTTATCCTGCTTCAAATCTGACCCCGGCAACACGTACTTTTTCCGAGGTACAGCGATTTTTATTTTGGTTGCTAACTTCACCCTTGGCAACACCCTGGAAGCAGGATCGCTCAAACATGTTCCTGCTTGTGTTGCTATCATTATGGTCCTTCCTCATCCTACTTTAAATCACACCCTGGCAACACGTACTATTTTCGAGATACAGGGATTTTTTTATGGTGCGTAACTTTACCCTTGGCTTGGGAACACATTGGAAGCAGGATCGCTCAAACATGTTCCTACTTGTGTTGCTATGGTAGCTCTTTTTATCTAAATTACTAACATACAAAGAATAGCATTCATTACGAGGATGGGTTGGTTTGAGATAGCTCTTTTCGTCTAAAATACCAACATACAGAGATAAGCACTCATTATAATCCATTTAGTAACGGTGTCTCAAGCTCGCCGTATTCCTACGACTAGACTTTGGTAATGCTACCAGTATGTATACCAAAAATATTAGGTAATGCTGGGGTAATCGAAGCAGTTTGAGGCAGGACCATAGCAGCGCAAGCAGGAACATTTTGGAGCGATCCTGCATCAATGTGTTGCCAAAACAAGGGTGAAGTTACCAAACATAATGGAAATCCCTATATCTCCAAAATGGTAAGTTTTGCCGGGGTGTGATTTAAAGCAGGATGAGGCAGGACCATAGCAACACAAGCAGGAACATGTTTGAGCGATCCTGCTGCCAGTGTGTTGCCAAGGGTGAAGTTAGCAACCAAAATTAAAATCGCTGTATCTCGAAAGTAGTACGTGTTGCCGGGGTGATATTTGAAGCAGAATGAGGCAGGACCTTATGGAAATCGATATATTTCGAAAACGATGGGTGTTGTTGGGTTGCGGCATTTTGAAGATCCTGCTTCCAATATGTTGCTAACTTTAACTTCAAATGTGTCGCATGTTTACAAATTTTTGTCCAAAGTTTTTCACGTATTTTCGCATGTATAAAGGTGTTTTAATTATCTAAAGTACTCCACGACAACTAAATAACGTTCTACGCAACGGGTGGACTATCTGGTTCTGCTGTAAATAGAGAATTTTTCTCATATACTTAAATCAAAACAAATTGAACTTTAATCTAGGAACTATAGAAAGGATTCTTAATGATGATAATGATGAATTGATAAATGATTTCGAAATGTCATACTATTGTAACAGGTACTTTACAAATGTTAGTTTAGAGCTCGAGAAAAATTTTGAAATCCCACCACAGCCTTTTCAACTAAACCCTAATACCACATTGAATGCCTCGATGTATGTAAGACCAATAACGGACAATGAAATAATAAAATATAGATCGACCCTCAAATCAAATTCAGCTCCTGGCAAGGATGGAATGGTATATCCAGTAAACTAATAAAAATTATTCACATGGAAATTTGAATCCCACTAAAACACATTATAAACGAGATATTTCAGACGGGCATTGTACCATCACATTTTAAAGTCTCCATTATTACTTCTATACAAAATTCCATGGATAAAATACAAAATTACCGCCCAATCAGCCTCATAAACAACTTAGGCAAAATATTCGAAAAAGCAATGAAGGAAAGGCTGACCGAATTCTTCAGGCTTCATAAAGTCTTGTCCACCAAACAAGTTAGCTTCGTCAATGAAGTGAGTACAGCCGATGCAATACAGTATCTAACATCAGAAACCACAAAGAACCTTGCTCTGAGTCACAAAACAATAGCCATATTTCTTGATTTTGCCAAGGCATTTTACACGATCCCTCATAAACACCTACTTAGTTTCTTAGAACATTATGT